ATATTAAGTTATTTCGAACCAGGAAAGATGAAAAATAAGCAACTCCTTCGCCTGGACTCGAACCACGGGCCCCTCATATACGCGTGGAGCGTGCTGATTACTACACTACGAAGGCTGTAGAAATACCTTACAAGCTAATGCCTGTCATCTCGCCGCTTCTCTAAGAGGAGACGCTGTGAATGTTCTTCAAACTCTTCCAGAAACCCAGAGACTACACTTTGAAGCTCTATCCGGCGCGTTGGAGCTGCGCTTTGCGAGAGATGTTTAAAAGACTACAGTAGGCTTCAATTGAATCCCGTCAACAGAAGCCCATGGCAACACTCTAGGAGCTCGCCACGGATGTTGAAAGGCTATCTCACCTCGCGTTTATGTATGGCCCGAGATAAAGGAGGGAAATCCTGTCCCTGCCTTTGTCAACGGCATCCGGGAGCCCGAAATACAGAAAGCTCTGAGAATGGCGGATGTGAAAGATTTAAAAAGTGCTCTAGTGTACGCCATGAAATTCGAGACAGCCCAGCAAGCAACTCGTAGAGACCGAAACCCAGTCAGAATTGCTCAATTTCGTGAGCCAGTGGATCAAGTGGTGGCTTTTTGGATAATTTAACCACAGAAAGCGCTCAAAATTTTTGCGTTGGGTGGCAACTGTAATGGACTATACATGTTCCTATGTTTGCTTATAGATGTAGAATTACTAAACCTTTTTAGCTTTGCTGTTCTTAAATGACTCCTATACAACCCTCGAGTGGAGGATATTCTGCCGAATTCTGATTTACTATTTGAATTACGCAGAGTTACAAATTCGAAGACCCATCGTCTATGTGACATTATCCACAGAACAATGCAGAAGGCCTTTGCGATGGTGTCAGAGATACAGAATTTAGATGATCCAGTAATGCACAATGCCTGTTCTTCGATGAGAATAGATCGAGTCGCATTTCACACATAAATTCATCTAGCGGGAAAATTATACCAGTAGAGAGGTATACAAGAAAGATATTGTTATTGTCAGTGGTATTGAGATGATAGCTTGGGGTGGACTGACTCTGATGGACGAACTCACCCACAGGTGCTGGAGAAAGGCTCAACTCGTAATTCTGTAAGGGTTATATTAACTCGTGTTAGCTTATTTCATCGTGGTACTGAAGGAATATGCTTCTGTTGATGATTATGCCGCATTTCATTAAAGTAGAGAAGTGAATAATTTCATGGTTAGCCAAACTGATTGGCCTGCATGCACACCTGATCTCAGCCCTATTGAGCACATGGAGGACATTGTGAACTTACTTTCCTTTACCGAAAAACAAACAAGGTGGGATTCGCGCTGCATAAAATGAATGGAACAGTTTACTTTACTAGCTTTTAAGTCATTAGGTAATAAGTTTGCCACGGCGTTGTGATAGTTGATTCACAGTTTGACATGGACATAATTTTACTTTTCATCCTCCTGCAATTATGGTCAATTCTGGCATATACCTTTTATATAAAACTTGCTGCCTTTGCTGTGATTCGTTATTTCCGATATATGCTTTATTATTATCGCTTGAATATTGGAAAAATACTTTTTACATTTATCTCTATCCATACAAATTATCTGTACACGCTAAACACCCCTCGGCTTCAAGTTTTGAACACATGAGTATCATGTATATAATTATCAGTTTCTAACTTCTGATGTCTTATCAAAAAATCTTGAAACGACCAAGAAATATTAAATTTTACAAATGAGTAGGACGTGGTGCTGGAATACATTGACGAATAAAGATGCCTTTACATTCTACTTGACTGAGGGCTTGAAATCGAAACTTTGTAAATCACAAAGAGCCTCAAACTTTGCAGGTGACTCAGGAGCTCCATTGGCGTCATGTATAATTGTGCACATAAAAGCAGTCATCTTTATTTAATGACAAACTTTCGCGTGTTTGCTATAAAATTGTTATGTCTATGAATTTTAAAATATAATATTCAGGTAATTTTTTTTTTAATTTTGAGGTTGACTATACAATTCTTCCTCAACTTCATCTTTCAAGGCCAGAAACGCTCTTAATATGCAATATTCGTGATAAGAAATTAGTAATGAGTGTAATAACTAGTTATGTGTTTTACATCCGTTTTTCTAAAAAAAATTGATTTTTCCAATTTTTGGATTTTCATTTTCCCTATTTTATATATGTTCATATTCTTAGACAAGCAGGATTTTATTGAACTTATATTAAAATTATTTTGTTTCTTTGCTTTAAAAATATTCGTACTGCTCTTATTTTAATAAATTAAAATCTTCTAATATTCTTTTGCTTTTTCCATAAGAAAAAACTTAATTTTACTCTAAAGAGAGAAGAAACGTTAACATCATTAGCAGAAGTTTATTATCAGTACATAAACTTATTGATGCGTTTCTGATTGTACGTTAAAATAAACGATTGAGTTCTTTTAATTACTATCAAAACTAAAAAATATATACAAAGAAATGCTTAAGGAAACTAGTACAAATATAAACTATTGGTTCTTTGGAACATTTGAATAAACGTGGTTTTAAGACTTATACTTCAAGTTTGTATGGAGTAGTTAACTAACTGCATTTTGCATCACAGACAGAAAAGAGTTTCAACACATTTGCTTAAATCTGAATTTCCTTTGCCTTTAAAGAAAATAAAGGCAAAAGAGCTTTTATGGAAATTTCTGATCTTAGTAATTGTATTTACGAGTATATTGCAAGTATACGCACACTTGGGTATTTTAAACGATTACAATGACTGAATATTCCTTGAACGACTGGTCATGTACCGATGTTCTAGATTGAGAAGTACCGAACTAAATAAGCTTTTGATTCCCAAATTATAGCTGTTTCAGTCGCATATTACTCCTTAGTAACAAAATGCAAATTTTAAATTTTTATGCGGGCCCCATAAAAAAGCCATGGGAAGAATAGTTCTAATAACTGAAATAGACAAATAAAACAAATTAAAAGAAACATTTCTTATACGCTTAAAATAACATGAACTAGGGAAACTAACTTTTGTTCTAGTAGTGGGAACGGTATACAAACTGGAAAAGTATGGTAAACGCAAAATATGCGTGCAATTTAGAAATATCATTTTAGTACAAAGTTCAAAAGATGTAACTTAAATTGTAGTTAAGACTACAATTTGTACAAATTGTTAAAAATTATATTTGTAAATTACATTATAAGTGTTACAAATTACATTTACAATAATGCTAAAACTGTGGGTTACAAATTACATTTGTAATAATGATAATTTTTTATCTGATGAAGTTCAGAGTTTTATATGCCCTCGGAAATTGAACTTTTAACCATTCTTTTTGCTGGATCCGAAATAGACTTTAGTCATGTGATTTTTAACAGTTTTAAGGGAATTTTTGTATATTATATGATATTTCCTCTTTAAAACTCATTTAGTAGGTTAAGAAAGAACTTGCGAATTAATGTTTTCCTTATAGGTTTTCCTTATATAAATTTAAACTTTCTGTACTGTTGCTAAATGATTTAGCACAACTAAAATTATTACAGTCTGAAAACTCTAGCATATATTAATTTAGTTTTTTGAAAACTGAAAATTTGTATTTGCTACCAGTCTTTCAAGCAGTGTCAAGTGTTTCGTGTCTTCAAGTGTTTTTGGTCTTTTCAGGTGTTGAAAATTACTCAAAAGCCGCATGCGAATTACCAAAGGGTGTCAGTGTTCTCGTAGCTGATACGATTAGCTCTTTTCGTTTGGAAAACTTGATTTCTAGCCATTGAAAATTCCACTTAAAATTTCGGAGTTTTTTATGTTGAGGAAATTTTTTGCTTGCTCGAAAGGGTGCGTGGATCACCGAAAAAGAAAGAAATGTTCTGTCTGACAAGTTCGCGAACATCCTTATGCCGATCATTTCTTCGCTTATTCTTAAGGGCGGTGCAGTTTTCCACGATAGGTGAAATATGATAATAATTGGTTCCGTGACCTCACGATTGGTGGATCACTATAAATAAAACTTGTATTTTGAATTATGTACTTAATTTCTATTTTGTGTATGCTTCTATGTGAATATTGTGTTTGGAGTAGAGCTGAATTTGTATGTTTGCCTTCCCGTTTACCTAGCTCTTTGACGCACTTATGTAGTTAATTTAAAGTACTGTGTGGTAATTGCATTTTTTTGATTTGATTTTACTAACTGCACTTTTAATCAATTGGTTTGTCTATTTATATTTTTAATGAATTATTTATGAATTATTTTAGTGTCAGAATAATTCTATGTGTTAATTTATCAATTTAAATTATTAACACTAAAAAATTAAAAGTAACAGCTGTGGCTATGATATATAATTATTAATAGGCCTGCTGACATATGAGATAACATAATATTCAAAGCTATTCTTTTACTAGTCCATAAGGAAGATAAGACAGTATGTCCTGATGGATGAATAACAAAACAAATCCTCTAAGATTGTCTCTTGGATCCCGAGTAATTTTCTCTGAGAGATTATGCATATGAAACTCTATTATCAAGCCATTAATTCTTCTAAAAAAAGTAAATTATTACTTTCATTTCAGATATTTTAATAGTTATTAACAAATAAAATTAATTTAATTATGAAATAACCTATTAAAATATACTTTCAGAGGTTAAAGTAACTGTTTAGTAACAAAGAGGAAAACATTTTCACATATCTGAAGCATTAAATGTTTCCAAATTTCTTCTAACTCTCTCCTCTATATTTGCTTACTTGATATTTTACCAATTTTCCCTTAAAAGTTGTTCATGTACACATTGAAGCTGCTTGCATATACCTGACGGTAAGCAAGCCATATTTTGAGTGAGCCATATTTTAAAACATTTTATTTTATATTTATTTTATTTTTATTTTATATTTATTTTTATATTTACTTTATTATATTCATACGAATATATAAATAATCAATTGTTAAATTTCAATCTGAAATATTTTATTCTGTTAAAAGGCATAATCAGATTTACATAATAAAATATTATCTTCTTCTCTTCAGGTGATGATCCCGAGTTTGATAATTACATTCTCCCATATGATTCACTCTTAGAAGGACTTAATGGTAGGTAAAACTTGAAGTTTATTTTTAGATATCAGGTACGAGGCTTTTCAAAACTGAGGTCAGGAAGCATATACAAGTTTTTCAATATTCATTTTCTTCGCACGAAATTTTTTTCTGTTTATTTTATAGAATATTGGAGTACCTCATTTTTTAAGGTTTCTTCTCATAACATTTAAAGAGACGTTATATTACTTTATAAGCAAATAGAAATATATTGCCGCTTTTATTGCAAATTACGGCATGTCAGAACGTGCCCGCTTTTAAATTAAAGTGTCACATATTAAAAAATAATAATATTTAGCCTCCTGCAAATTGTATGTGAAAAGAAAGAGAGCAGTGAATGCAAGGTATATCTCTAGGAAAGTTAAAACCATTATCAACTTAGTTTGCTTTTCACTTCTGTTAGAAAGTTGCTTTTTTAATATATGGTTATTTTAGTAACAGCGACTATATGATTTTTCCTTCTCATACTTCGTGGTCTCAGTTTTGAAAAGCGCTCTGCTTTAAGTGCAAGAATAAGGAATAAAGATTTTGAACTATAAGTATATTGTTATGCGACTGTGAAAATACTAAAATGTGTATTAAATTTAAAACATATATATGTCATGACTCATCAAAAATGTGATAAATTTAAAAAGAAGCTTTAGATTCAACTCTATGTCTTTTCTTCAGTTTCATTTAGACGCAACTTTTGATAATAATAATTGATTAGATTACTATGTTGTTTACTACTTCGGAATTCATAGAAGAATCAGTATATAAGATGTCAGCGAATTCTCTCCCGGTCTGACGTCTGAATTAGTTAAAGTAGTTGTAGATATACTGATTATATAAAATTAAAGCAGGCGAATTTTGGGTTTCTTAAGCAGGCATTCATGAATAACTTTATAGAGAATGTGTCATTATGAATAACTTTATAGAGGATGTGTCGCTCCTACCCATGCATTCATGAATAACTTTATACAGAATGTGTCATTATATTGTAAAATTTAAGCAAGGGTATTATTCACTGTTTCCTCTACGTCGCAAAAGTCTTAAGTGTAACTACAGACAAATTTAGTCTCCGTAAGACTTTATATTGCTTAAGAACGAACTCTTTTCTGGAATTTTTACAGTCAAATTTCCAAATGTGCATTTTAGCTTTCGAGATAATTTTCTTGTAAACTCCTCTTTCTTATATTGGGGAAGAAAAAGAAAAGTTATATCTGAAAATATTTGGAAAATTTAAACTGAAAAAGTACAAAGAACTTGTAAACTGTGAAATTCAAAACTGCCAACTTTGTATAGGAAGCAATGATGAGCTTATTTCCTGATTACCGATAGTGTTTTTTTATCATCTGGAATCGTTCTATTCTAGCTTTCTTTTCTTTTCTCGTATGAGCGGCAAGAAGATATGTTTGCCGGTGTGAATAACTACGTTATTTCGAAAGCCTATCTTACGGAAATCTAGAGCAACAAATACGGAATAGCTGTATATTACAGAATTGTAGCTTTATATAACTGCTGTAGTGACTTGTACAGTGGCAATGATAGCACCTGGCAACGCTCATGTGCCTCCTAAATCTGACTGAATCCAAATCTGTTGGATATGACTCCGCTAAACAGGGCCGTTGTGGCTTTTATGGACTTTACTCACCCAGTGATTATTTGTTGTCTTTGAATGTTCGTAATGAGTTACTAGAATGTAAGATATCCGAAACGTGTTGTGTGTTGATTGTAGGTTCAGTGTCTTGCACTTGAAGTTTTAAGTGATGGGAATGAAGAGGAATGTATAGAATTTTAACTCTATCAGTGAATGAAAGAACATGAATTTTCCTAGATTTAGTAAACTCCCTTAGTTTTAGTATATATTTACGTTTATTACAAAATGCTAATTGTTAAAATGCTAATTGTCAAAAGCTAATTGTTACCAATTTGAACTAGAGTTAGTACTGGAAATGCAACTTACAAATTGTTGAGAAAAAGATAGAACTGATGACGGAAAATAGTAGCTGCTACTGAGATTTGGATGTTGTATCTTCAAATCCTTTTGTAAAAAAAATGTAACAAAAATAGATATGGGAAATATATATAGTTATTAGGCCAGAGAGAGGAACTTAGATGTTTGCATTCTGATAAAAGTCAAGAAATCATCGCTTGAATGTTACTTGAAAATTTGACTTTACTGCAATGGAGATGTGGTTGCAGGAAAACTATTTATACAGGTATTAACAGTATGGGAAACAAAATCCGATAAAGTCCGAAGAAACGAAGACTCACAAAGAACATAATAAATAAATAAGCAGTGCCGATTTATATAGAAATTACTGTAGACGTGCAAAGATTTGAACATTAAGTGAGGTATCTAAATGATACATTTATATAAAAGAAGAAGTGTGAGGAAAAATAATCTTATAAAATAGCTAAAGAAGACTTTAATAATTAAATACAAAAATGAAAAAAAAAATATGATAATTTTAAAATTGACTGTTAGAAATATTTCAAAGATAATTCGTAAAAGTATAGAGTTCTAGGAGAAGAGTTTATCTGCTTTAACAAGAATACAATAATAAAGCTATATATTATGTGGGCTTAGAAAGGAGATGGTAAAAAATTGGAAAAAAAATGGTGAATTACAGAATAGAATGTAACTAAGATAGAACATAAAGACATAAAAGTTTACTTAATATTGAGCTAAAAAATAAAGTTCACTGAGTGATAACAATTAAAGTAATAAACAATTGTATCGAAGTTCTTTAACAAACAAATTTGCGAATTCAAATAGAAGTGACTTCAGATATACGGATTAAAGCATTTCTTAAAAATAAAGACAAGAAGACTTGAGAAATAGCTAAATTCCCACAGTATGCTTGAGTTCTGCTCGCTATTTAATCCTCATGTTTTTATATAAAGAGTCATGTAAGCAAATTATGGATTCTATTAAAATGGTACTCTATTAAAAAGTAAATAAATTTGTTAGTTGTTTCCTAAATTTCTCACTTTGTTACATATATAACTCGCGTTATATTTTATAATGTGCGTTTCGTTAAATTTTCATTTTAGTTTACAATTTAAAAATCTTCCATATGCATTGACAAACATCCTAGCGCTTAATAAGAAAATAAATATAACATGCCTCTAAAAGGCAAAGTCTTTGAGAAATGGTAATTTTTTAACTCGAGTAGATGATTAGTATCTTGTTAACATAACGTTACACGACACAAAAGAATATAAAGGTAGATGCATACCTTTCTAACTAAAAGGCATTGCTATAAAAAATTGAAGCATGCTATGAAAAGATATGCTATATGAAAAGATATGAAAAGTTTTGCTTTGATCACCGGCGCATTGCATGCAATTCAAAGTTAGGTATTTGTAACAAAAGCATAAGCCCTGAAAAGGCAGTTAAAGGATTATGCAAATTTGGTTAGATTTAGACAAAAATCAATCATAACTGTAAAAACTGAATGATCATCTATTTAACGAAATTGTCTCTCTAGAAATTGGTTTTAATTTTAAGAATTTAAGTATTCAAAGAAACTTTGACCATGAAACTGGGACAGGTGTTTGATGCTTCGTGTAGAGACAAAAGTTCTCACTTAAAGATTGTCTAGAAAAGGGTCCAACTTAGTTGAAACAAATTATTCCTATAATTTTAAGATTTCGCAAGCATAGAATAGGAGTTATTTCAGACATAAGAAAGGCTTTTTTTGCAAATGTAGGTGAATAAGAATGATCGAGATTTCTTAAGATTTTTATGGTGGAAGGACTTCGACAAGGAAGAACGTAGACAATTGCATCACATATGTTCCTGATAAGGAAACGCTCAATCGATTCATTGAGGAATCGAAAGAAATATTAGATTCTGCGTCATTCAATCTGAGATGGTGGGAGCACACTTCCCTTTTGAAATCTAAAGAGAGTGTAGAACCTACTCCAGTGTTGGGAATTTTGTGGGATAGACTTTTCTGTGATGTGAAGACTGCTTCTGACAAAACACTTCAGGAGAAATTGCATGCACTTAATACACTGCGCATTCTATATTTATATAAATTGTTAAGGTAATAACTAATTGGCCAGACTATTTTCGTAATTGGCAATTTTTATGGCTGCTCAAAAGGAGGATTATTTACGCTCTGGGTTCTCACTCTACCTCTCTGCTCTTGCATTCACTTCTGCTAATACATTTTTTCTTTCATTTTTTTTTTCATTTTTATATCTTTGCAATTAAGCATCGTTTTCTTCGCACTTATGGCACATATCGTTCAACAGCAAAATTATAAGATATTTAAAAACAGCAAATCTTTCGAATTCTCGATTGAGTAAGAGGTTTGCTGTACATATTTTTATTTTTGCTACATTGTTTCTTTAAAAACTGGCCGCACTAAAATAGTTTTCATAAAAAAGAAAAGTATGTAATGATTTTAATGAATCTAGCTAGTGTAATTTCATAAAAATATTAAATACTTCTAATTAGATATCTCATGATTTTAATACATGTTTAATTAAATTAATCACATTAAACACAATAACTGTGTTTATTGCTTTTAAATTGCTTAATTTACTACTCAGTAATTTTACGGTTTAAATTTGAAACTATCCTACTCTTTACTGAATGGTTACACGTGGAAAACTGAAAGGTAAATATCTTAAATTTTTCCGAATGGCAACAATTTCGCTCGTTGGAGAAAAAATGCTTTATTTCGAACAATGCTGCCATTCCTCGCTTTCTAATCAAACGTTTATTAAAAAATTTATTAAATATATTAAAAATAAGTATGAAAAAAATAATAAAACAATTCGGAAATAAAAATTCACACTTCTACCTGCACATATTCGGGTGGAGGACTACTTTATTTAAAATATGATGGCTGTAAGTAGCGTTCTTTTTTTTCACAATGCGACGAACATACATACATGCATGCAAATTATTCATTATATAATTTCTTTAAAAAAATGCAGGACGATAATATTTGGTGGAAGCAATTTGAAAAGTGACACACAGTTTCTAGTGAACGAAA